AGGAACATTGCGGCAAACGCCCTGCGTGATGCTACAGAGAAGCGGATCGGCAGAGCCCCCTCGAACCAAGACATCGCCACCTTCCTGAGCGGCTCCCTGGATGGAGAATTCGGACAGGACGGGTGCATCGCTTCATTGTGGTCCCGCACTCACAATGCCACGCGTCACCTGGGGAAGCGCATCGGCTGCCGCTGGGAGTGGTGCGAGGAGCGCCAGGAGCTCGGAATCCGGGTGCCACAGATCAGGTCTGATGACAACACCATCGTCACCCCGACAGCAGGGGCTTGCTGGAGAGGACTCTGAAGGCCGCCATCCGCTCGCTGTACGTGGAAATCCTGAAGTGTAAACCGGACCAGGGTAAAGCCTTTGAGTTGACCAGCAAGTGGGACACCAGCAACCACTTCCTCGCCGGGGCGGCTTCACCCGTTTCGCCGACTGGCGGTTCATCCACCGTGCCCAGCTCAACTGCGTCCTGCCCAATGGAGCCGTCCGCCACGGGAACCTAGACAAGCGTTGCAGGAAGTGCAGCTACCCCAACGAGACCCTGCCCCACGTCCTGTGCGGCTGCAAACCCCACTCCAGAGCCTGGCAGCTGCGCCACAACGCCATCCAGAACTGCCTGGTGAAAGCCATCGCGCCACGCCTGGGCGTGAACTGCACCATTGCCGGTACCAACACCAGCTACGACCTGACGTGGTCGTCACCGACGAGGTCCAGAAAAAGATCATCCTCGTCGACTTCACGGTCTCCTTTGAGAACAGGACTCTGGCATTTTGCGAAGCCCGAGCTCGTAGGCTGGAAAAGTACACCCCCCTGGCTGACACCGTGAGAGCAAAGGGCTATGAGGTGCAGATGGACGCCCTGATTGTCGGAGCCCTGGGTGCCTGGGACCCCTGCAACGAGCATGTGCTGCGGACCTGCGGGATCAATCGATGCTACACACGTCTCATGCGGTGCCTAATGGTCTCAGTCGCCATCCGATGGTCCAGGGACATCTACATCGAGCACATCACCAGCCACCGACAGTACCAGGAGGCGTGAGACAGAGTGATATCTTTCTCCCACTATGAGAAAGGGACCAAGTGACCTTCTCCGTTGGATCATATGAACTGGAACCATAAACTCCCTAAA